TCATTAAGCCATTTATTCACTTATTCAACAAATATTTATTGAATTCTTTTTTGGCGTTGCTGTAGGAAACACTGAAGGTATAGCAGTAAAAGTAAACTTTTATTTTCAAAAACGTGTTTTAACATTGAAAAATACTGAAAGTCTCAAATCAGTGCAATTCCTATGCAAAAGTAAGGAAGGGGCAAGTGTCACTAAAGCTTTGCTTATTGCATTTCTTTCTTATTATGCTCAGCATAATAATTATATGGCTGATTTACAGAAATCTCTGCCCAAACACCTAAGACCTTGGGCATTTTTCCTGATGTTAATGATTTGGATCTTAATTGAAATACACAATTAAACAATAAATTGTTATCAAAACCTGGGTGGATTTACAGGTTAATAAAACAAGACAAAACATAAACCTCTCATCAATGTCAATATGTTAAGCTTTTATTTCTCATATTTAAAAAAGTGTTGAAAGATACTGAGGGTATATCATATGCAAGATTTTCACAACCTTTTTCCTGATCGATCAGTATACTTTGATATTTATATCATAAGAACACTGGTGAAGATGTGACAGTAGCCATTTGTTGGTAAAGTCAATAAAACAGGGTTTGGAGACAGAAAATGCAAGTCGGGGTTCTGCCAGTTGCTAGTTAGTGGCTTCTGCACACTACAACGGCATTCTGTTTCTGTTTTCTCAGCTACAAAAGAGTGGAGGATTTGTGAGTGGATTAAATACAAATATCTAACATGCTTTAGAAGCTAAAAGTACTACAGATATTTTGTGTTTGTATTCATTATAACATTCCACTAGACAAGTAGTATTTATTAGAAATTAATAGTAGACATTATATTAATAATAAAACACTATTCTCATGTCAGGAGCAAATCAAGGTGCTTGTTTTCATCACCAGTATTTACAACATGTTCTATAATTTTAGACCACCACTGTCCAGTACAACCTTCTGCAGTGATAAAAGTGTTCTCTGTCTGTGCTGTCCAATATGGAACCACTAGCCATGTGTGGCAATCTGAATTTAAATTAAAATTCAGTTTCTTAATCACTCTAGCCACATTTGAAGTGCCCATCAGGCATATATGGCTAGTTGCCACCATCTGTCATCTCAGAAAACTCTATTGGATTAGAAGTTCTACTGGCCTAGAATTACAGAATAATGTTGAATAGTAGCAATGATAAAAACATATTTATCCATCCATAATCCATTTTATTTTTTGTGCATTTTAAAGTAAGTTGTAGACATCAGTACACTTCACCCCTAAAGTCTTTAGTATATATAACATTAACTGTAGTTCAATATTTATTTATGCTTTCATAGATAAAATTTTACCTACAGTGAAGTGAACAAATCTTAGAGTACCAATCAATGAGTATGGACAAATGCATTCACCTGTGTAATCCCAACCCCATCAAAATACACAACATTACTATCACCCCCAGAAGGTATTCTCATTTTTCTTCCCATTCAGTCCCCACCTTCATCCCACCTTCTGAAAAAAGTGAGTAAACAAAAAAATCCACCTGACAGAAAAATGGACTAAAAACATACCATCATTTCACAAAAGAAGAAATACATGTTAGCCAATAAGCATTTAATGAAATAAACACCCAACCATACTTGAAGAAATGCAAAAGAAGTAGTGAAATTATTTTGCATGTCAGATTGGCAGTAATTTACAATGTTTATAATAGCAGGTGTTGGCCAGGATGTGGGTAAGGGCACTCTCATGACTGTCCAAATACTGTTTAACTTATCTCCTGAGTATCTTTCAATAATTATATATCTGTTTTCGTTTTATCAGTTCCACTTGGTTCTTTTCAAAATCTTCCCAGTTGACTGGCTGATTATGATTAGTCCAGTTGGGTAGAGCACAGTGTTATAACACAAAAGTTCAAGGGTTTGGATCCCCATACTGGCCAGCCACCAAAAATAAAATAAAATCTTCCTAGTCATTCCTGATAATTTATTTTTGCTTGTCTCTATTTATGATTCTAATCTTTAGTTCCCTAAACTTTCATTTGTGGCTATTTTATATTTTGTACCCTATAATTCCAGTTTTGAATTTCTTCTGGATCTGTATTAAAGGATAGATTTTACTGTTATGAGATAGAGACCCTAGATAACAAGATAGACATTTATTTCTCTGTCTACATAGGTAGTCCAGTACTGGTATAGAAGGTCCAATCCACAATCAGTGGGGTCCAAGCTCCCTCTCTCTTATCACACAGCCATCCTCAGCATTTCACCAGCTTCTACCATCTCATCCACAGTCCAGACAGCAGAAAAGAGAAAATAGGAACAGGAAGGGCACACCCCTACCTTTTGATATCTGGGCTTAAAACTTATACACATTTCCTTCCCCACTCCCAGTGCTTCACTTGACTAGTCTTAAAAAAAAAAGAAAAAGCCATATACATTCCTTCTACTCAAATCCAACAGGTGAGAAGTCACATGACCCACACAATGTGCAAGACAGTCTGGGAAACATAGTTGTTAACCTTTTCTAATATATTGCTACTGAGGAAATATAGAATGGATACTGAGAGACAACTAGTAGCCTCTGCCACAGGGTGTAAATCTCATCATTCCTGCTGGTTTTCCCTATGATGTCTGGCCTCATGTGCTTGACAGTCTTTGATTATGAGCTTATATTTGCTTGCTCTTAATCTGTGGGAATTTTGTGAACCTAAATTAGTGATGCTTTCCTCTAGAGAGAGTTTGGTCTGCTTTTTCCAGGAATTAAGAGGTTTATGGTCCTGGCCTGAAGTAGGAGTCTTCAGTTCAGCTCCCCCACCTACTGCTCGCCTGCAGGTTAATGTCCTGGTTTTAGTCATACTAAAGATATTTGTCCTGGGAGGTGACTCAATGTTTGCCATTTGGTTACTGATCAATACTCCCAGTTCTGATTTCGTTCTTTGTTGTTGGTTTTTGTTTTTGTTTTGTTTGATCAAACAAACGAAATTTCCCTTGTTAGGATCTCAGCAATGCATTTTTTTTTTTTTTTTTTAAAGATGACCAGTAAGGGGATCTTAACCCTTGACTTGGTGTTGTCAGCACCACCTCTCCCAAGTAAGCTAACCAGCCATCCCTGTATAGGGATACGAACCTGTGGCCTTGGTATTAACAGCACCACACTCTCCCAAGTGAGCCACGGGCCGGCCCTTCAGCAATGCATTTAAAGATATGTTTTATCTAGGATCTAATTGTTTTGTAGTAGAAGGGTATTTCAAGGCTGTGGCCCCACTTATTGCCAGGCCAGAAATGTCCTGTTCACTCTTCAATTTATTTCAAGTCTGGCTTTTTCTGTATCATTCCGGCTTGCCAACGTTGCCAATAACCTCCTTATTAACAAACCTAGTGGATACATTTCTGTCTTCATCTTACTTAACCTCTCAGCAGCAATGACACAGTCAATCCTTTTACCTAATGGGAGCCAAGCACTGTTTTGGATGCTAGGGAGTAAAAAGAACAAAACAGACAAAAATCCTAGAGAGAAGAAACAAACAACAAACAATAAACATAATAAACAGATATATTATGTAATATGGCAAAAGGTGATAAGAGCTATGGAACAAAAATTGGAACAGGGCAAGGGACATCGGGAGTGCTGGAAGGGATGTTGCAATTTGAAAAGGGTTGGGAAAGGTAGGCCTCATTGAGAAGATGATATTTGAGCAAATGCTTGAAGGAGGTAAAGGAGTGAGCCCTGAAAATACATGGGGGAAGAGCATTCCAGATAGTGACAACAGCCAGTATGAAGGCATTAAGGCAGGATTGTGGCTGGTATTTTCAGGAAGAGAAGAAAGTGTGGCTGGAACAGTGAGCGTGAAAGAGAATATGAGGAGGTGAGATCAGATAGGTATGGAGGGCTGGCAGATCATATAGGGTCCTGCAGGCCATTGGGAAGATTTTGACTTTTACTGAAATGGGGAGGCATTTTTGAGCAGAGTTGTGACATGAACTGACATGTTTTTAAATGATCCCTCCGGCTGCTATGTTGATAGAAAAACATAGGGGGTCAAGGATGGAAGCAGGGACCACTGGAAATGCTATTGTAGCCATCCTTTTCCTTGACCCTTTTCCCTCTCTTGGCTCTATGACCATATCTCCAGATATTTCTCATGGCTTACTAACTGCTCCTTCTCCAGCATCACTTCTTCCCCAACCTGCAAATGTCGGAGCACTCTAGACTCAGTCCTGAGACCCATCTTGTGTCTAGCTTCATTCACTGGGAGATCTCATGCAAACCTATGGCTTTTAAGACCATCTCTTTACTGGTGATACACAAACTTAGAACTTCAGCACTGAGGTCACACTCATATATGCAGTAGCTACTTGCTATCCAAACTGGAACACTTTATTTCTGCCTAAACTTTCCTCTCCTAGCCAGGTTGCACACCCCAGTAAATGGCACTGTATCTGTTCAAGCCAAATAACAGAGTCATCCTTAATGCCTCCCTTTCCCTCCCCTCCATATCTAAAGTGAGACGTTCTCCCCCTGAATCAATGAGCTGTTTTCTTCAAGATGTTATTTATAAAATAACCTCAAACATCTCTATAGCTTAAACAATGAATATTTCTTTTTCTCACTCACAAAACTGCAGGTCAGTTGGTGATTGGACAAGCTTGGTTGGCTAGGCTTGGCTGACTTGGTTGCAGGCTGTGTGATGGGTTGTGGTCTGAACCATGTGTGTCCATTCTGGAGCTCAGGCTAAAGGGCAGTAGTTACCCCAGGGATGACCTCATGGTGGTGTCAGAAGCCCAAGGGGGTAAGCCAGTCATGCTGGCCCACTTAAAGCTTCTGTTCATACTTCCCATTAGCCAAAGCAAGTGACACAGACAAGCCCAAAGTATGAGAATTACAAGTCTCACACCTTTTGGGGAGAATGGCCACTTCAAAATCTTCCAAATCAGCAGCTGTACTTTTCTTTAATTTCAAGTTTTTTTAGGATTATGAAATTAAAATAGTCTGTTCTTGGTTATTTTTCACAGGTCTTATCATCTTCATGAAACCCTCTCCCGAGTTCCTCAAAAGATAAACAGAGGAAAATTTTTCTTTAGAAAAGTACAGTAAACTATGATTTTGGTTTTTGTTTTTAGTTTAGTTTAGTTTTGTTCTTGAAACAACTGTGGTGGTTTCATTAATGAGACTACTGCTTTTTTCCTGGATAATCTTATTCATCTTGATCTTGTTCTCCGTTTCATATAACCAGAGTGAGTGTTTTTACTGAAATACACTAATGAGATTATGGGGCAGCTGTCTCTTATGAACTAGAAGTTCTTATCTGACTCATTAGCTTTGAATAGTTGTGTTTTTAAATTGTTTGGAGGTGGTTACATATGAATCTTCTTATAAACTTGTATCTCTCTCATTTAAAAGAGAAGATGAAGGAAAGGAATTAGCCCATTAATTATTTAAAAGGCTTGGTGCAACTGTTCCTATGAATTAATCCAGGCACTTGGAAGACAATTACACTCAGTGTTAATAACATTGCCAACCTTTTCCAGTATGCTGCACTCCAAATACTATTGTGTTTTCATTGACAACATTTACTATTACATATGCATATGAAAACGCATTTTCATCAGAATTACTGTAATAGCATTAAGAGATTATTATTTTTTTCCAATTTCCTTGGAAGAAAAATCACTTAAATTAGATTATGTATTACTTGACTGCTCCCCTGTCTTGCCTGTATGTTAGGTAACTGGAGTCCCATCAGAATTACTGTAATAGCATTAAGAGATTATTATTTTTTTCCAATTTCCTTGGAAGAAAATTCACTTAAATTAGATTATGTATTACTTGACTGCTCCCCTGTCTTGCCTGTATGTTAGGTAACTGGAGTCCATGAAAGTATAAACTTCAGAATAAAAAGCGTGATTTTATACTTTAATGATTTCAAATAAAAGAGGAATGCTACGTTTGTGCATCATTTCTTTTGAGAAAGTTAAGTCTGTGTTCTGCTTGGGAGAGATAACACTTTTTGTCCCTGTAGGTGGCCCCCCTGGTGTAGCCATTAGTTGCTAATTAGTTGCAAACAAATAAACAATTAACTCCTTAAGCTGCTGGCTGGGCAAGTGTTCATTGACATGCTAAAACTTTCTAAGACAGGATTTTAATTAGTGACGTTCTAAATCCAGCCCCCTTGTCAGTGGAGCTATAAGGTGAACTGCAGGAAGATCCCAGCCCTGCACACGTGGGGCAGAGCCAGCAGCGAGGCCAGAGCTCTTAGTGCAGCCCTTGAGAGGATGTCTCCCAGCCTTCAGGAGGGTGCTCGGCTTGGGGAAAGCAAACCCTCACCCTGCTCCTTTTCAATTGAGAGCATCTTAGGACTGGACCAGAAGAAAGACTGTGTTCCACCAATGAAACCCTACAGGCCCTGGGCAGACACCTGCAGCTCTTCAGGTATGCCACAACTTAATCGTTTAAACTCATTATGTCACTTGCAGTGTTTAATTTGGCCTTTATTTCATACAACATGGAGTTAGAAACTGCAGTTTCATCCAATTACATAACGGAAGCATCTAGGACTTTTAATGCCTCTAGCTAAGTTCTATGGAAAATAAAAAGAATATCAGCCTTAGATCCAAGTGGGTATAAAGTTCACTCACAGGAAAAGCCAAGGACCTGCATTTACTTAAGAAGATGTCTCTGTGTGTTTGACACATGAGATATTCTAAATCTGTTTTCACTGACTGAAAAATAAATAACATTCAGAAACCAAAATGTTTTCTATCACCAAGGCAGGATCTTCATTTTTTTTTTTTTTTTGTTTTTGGTTGATTGGGGGCCTGTTCTCTTGTGAAACCCAGAAGAATTCCACTAGAAAAATTAAAAACAAGTTTCTGAAATTACTTATATGACTTTGTGGAACATAGGATTGGCCATCTAAGATGGGGTATATTTTTCTGTTTTTAGGGAAAGATGGAAGCCTGCGTCTGTATGTCCCAAGTCTGTTCAGTGGAATCTCATTTCCTTGCATGGTGGATCACCCAATGCCAGAAGAAAGAGCTTTGAAATATGAAAATTATTTTTCAGCCTCAGAAAGACTGTCTTTGAAAAGAGAGTTGGGTTGGTATAGAGGCCGGAGACCAAGAACTGCTTTTACTCAAAACCAGGTGGGAAATTTTTTCATCCAGTAATGATAATACAAAGGATTTAACTGATGCCCTGTTGAGCAAAAGCCCATTCACTTTGGGATCTCAATGTAGAAGAGTTATTAATGAAACAATAGACTATCATATTTTAACAGTTTCTGGATAATCATTTTTTAAAAAGGTATTCAGATTAATTGCCAAAGATTTAAATGCAATTATTTTGTTATACAGATTAAAGCCCATTTTTGGTGACATACTGAATAGCAACATTTTAAAGAATTATTTCCTTATTTGTAGATTGAAGTGTTGGAAAATGTCTTTAGAGTAAACTGCTATCCTGGCATTGATATCAGAGAAGACTTAGCTCAAAAATTGAATCTAGAGGAAGATAGAATCCAGGTAATTTTCAAATTTAGTTGTTACTCAAGATAGTTGAAACGTTAAGAATAATAAAATAATGTTTCTGAAACCTGTTTTACTTTTTTCTTAATTTTAGATTTGGTTCCAAAATCGGCGTGCAAAGCTGAAAAGGTCTCATAGAGAATCACAGTTTCTAATGGCGAAAAAAAATTTCAACACAAATCTCCTGGAATAGATAGAAAACTAAACATGTGAAATTATATTGCAGAACATGAAGACTCAATGGAAACATCAAGTGTTTAAAATGTGATGTTTTCTTTCCTGCATTTATTCTGAATATTGTCCCTTTTCTTGAAAATATATTGTAAATAATTATCGTTATAGCATGGTACATATTATATTTGAGCACTTTTAGTTACAATAAAGACCTTTCCTATATATTTTAATAAACATTTTCAGAAAAGCCAGCTATTTTTTAAGTGAGCAAGGTTAATCTAAAATTAGTTTGCTAAAATCAGTAAACTCATAACTAAGTGATACCACAAACTGGATTCCATTTACAAAGTATTTCAAGTAAAATAATCTGAAGAACAAAGGTGTGATTTGTTTCAATTAGTTTCCTTCAAGTGCAACATGATTATGCTTAACTATATTGTAGAAGATGATTTATTTGTGAATCTTCAATCTTCAGTTTCTCTTGATTTATGGCATAAAGCAGTAAGAATTTCTCACCATATATCAAAATAAATCCTTATAGCATGCCAGTTTCAAGTTTTGTTTTTTTCTTTAAAGCAAAGTCATTATGCCAAAGTAGAGATAAAAGCATCAGCTATTGTATTCATACTATTGGTATTGCACTGCACAAAAGAATTAAGCTGCAAATAAATGCAAATTTTTAAAATACTTTTTTAGTTCATTTAATGTGCTTTGCTTTCATTTATTCAAGTGATAGTGACCATCTGACATATTTATTTCCAATTTAGTGTTTTGCAATCAACTGTATATTTTATTAACAATATTATGTTGACTGAGAAGGGAGGATAATTGACCTGCCTTTTGTACGTGCTCTGACATAGTCACTAGAAATAATCAGGGCACTTTCTAAGCAACAAAAAATAAATGTTTTTGTTCCCCATTTTCCCTGCCATTATATCTGCCAAATAAAGGTGAGACTAGAGTAAGAGGCATGAAAAGAAGGGAATCCTTTCCACTGGAAATCTGGAAGCCATATTTCAACTTTGTCCATTTGAACTGATTTCTCCCTTTCTTTTCTTTTCTTTCTTTCCTATTCCTCTCTCCTTCCTCTCTCCCAATGATGATCAGAGTAAATGGTTCTCATTGAATTATCAACTCTATAACCACTATTTTTTTAACATGTGAAATACTAGAGGTTGTTTGCATATTATTTCTGAGGAAAAGCAACATGACTCAGATTTAGAGCTTTGTGAAATCATTTGCTAAGAGCACATTTGGGGGAAAGAGCTGTGTCCCAACAACCGGTCAGCAATAAGCTGTGCATATTCTGTTCTGCTATTGCTGAGGTGAAGAGGGAGGAGGAAAGAAGGAAAAGAGGGCAGCAGGGCAGTTAACAGAAGATTAGAGGCATTAAATGTTTACCAAGAAAGACTGGGTCACCTTTCCAGTACAAAGCGATGCTTCCATTAATAAAAAAAATTTGAAGCACTACTTATGAAGTATATTGGTAAAATTTATCGACCAGGAGCTTTCTTTGCTCTCCATTAGGTTCCTAAGAAATTAGGTTAAGTTGGAAGACTGGAAGTCACCAGGAGTAGGCCTTGGGGGAGTAGGTTGGAAGTGAATGTGTCATGTGATGGGTAAGCTTTTATTTTAATCCCAAAAGCCATACTGACACTGTAAACAATTTATAAGCAGTATAGAAATAGAGTAAAATCTCCCTCAATTCTCATACTTCAGAGGTAACCACCATTAAACATTTTTATAGATCTTTTTGTATAGTGTAAAAACACCTATGTGTACATATATACACACATATATATTATTGTGGTTGCTGTTGTTATTTTTTAATGTGACCACACTTGACATTCTGTTCTGTGTCATGTCAGAATTATAGCTCTGTATCCTTAATGTCTGCTTTTATTTAGGAAGAGATTTCAAGTCTTATACATAACAACAAAGTATTCTACAATATTAGTGTTAATATTTAAGCATTTTTGAAGTAGTGCTTTCACAAGGTGAGACTTTCAAAGTGTAATCACAGTTTGTCTAGAATTTATCTGGAATTAAACCTCATCACCAAGTCCCTGAGGAGTGTGAGGATTCTGTATAAAATAAGAGAATACAAAAAAAAAAGAAAAAAACAAAGAAACAGCATCACAAACATTCATCAACAAAAATAATGCACTTAAAATTTTTTTAATTATAAAAACTGATGATACCTATAAAAAGCCTGGCGTGCAAAGAAATAAACTATAGTATTATCTTAGTATTTTCCAGTAACAATTTTATGTAACTGATTTATGTGGCCCTAAAATTCAAATTATGCTTATTATTGGAATAAAGTGTGTTTATTACTGTAGTTATATATTTATAATTGAAATAATTTATAATAGAAATTATACATTTATAACTGAAACAAATAATATTTAGAAGTCAGGAAAAATTACAATTGTAGAATTTATAATATTAAAGTAACTTTAAATGCAATATGTACATCCTTTTATATTTTTCAATACGAATAACAGAATATCAGTTGTATTATAACTTTTGTGAAGCAAGTTCATAATATGTAATAATATTCAAGAAGCGAAATAATATGCAAGATTACTAGTGTATTTCCCCTAAAATCATTTTGAAAAACCTGAAAGATAAAGGCTGATCTTGTTAAAGGAAATTATGAATCGGTAACATTTTTAGAATTATAATTGTTAGTTTTTTGGAGAGAATATAATGATATTCAGGGAAAAAACTGGACTTTAACTTTGAGGAAAAATAAAGCAAAATGAAAATCTAAGATAGAATTTTCTTTCCTCAAAACACACAGGCTCTAATCCACAGCTTATCTTTGCTCCTGGTAATTCTAGGCCTTTGTCTCCATTAATGCCCAGGACAAGGTGAACGGTAGTAACAAATCAAACTAATGCAGTCAGGCTAATACCTGGAGCGTCTCTATTATCTGACAACTGCCTAAATAAGGTTATTTGGTCTCCTGTAATGGCATTTGTCTCTTGTGAAGCCAGCCAGACAAAGCCCATCACTAAAGAGCACTGGTGGAAACAATGGCTGTGTGTGCTGGTGGTCAACTTGTGAGTTAATCAGTGTTAATAGCTGCTTTCCCCTCCTGCATCTTATCACACATCACACAAATGGCATAAATCCCCCATGACTGAACCCAACACACGGCACCAACATGGGCTTTGTGCCTACTCCAAAAGGCAGGGAGCCATGAGCTAGTCCATTTTCTTGATGCAAAACCAATATCACAGTGTGACTTGCTATCTCCATTTCACAGAGCACCGTAAGAATAAAAACTCCTTCTCATGCATTTGGCTAATTTAATGCTCATTTTGACCGTTCCGTCTCCTGGTGGGGCACCAGTCCACAGCAGCCGAGGTAACTCTAGGTTGCTCTCACCACTCCACACCTTGTTAGATTCACCCCTTCCCATTTTCCTCTCCTATTTTCTTATTATTCCCGTTCTTTTCCTTTTCCCCTAATACCTTGGCAAGCATGTTGGTGTCAACAGGCATCACTGAGCTCCACAAATGAACCCCCAACCTAAAGGGTTTATCACTTACCTTACATCTAGTATAAAGTCACCAACATTTAGGAACTTTGTGTCTGTTCTTTTCCTCTAGGTCTCCTAGGATGACTTAGCAGACCATCTCCTTTAAGTAGCATTTTATAACAAGGTAATTTCAGTGAAATAAATGACACCGTAGTTTATGCCCTATTTACCACATCATAAACTAGCAAATAACCATGCACTGAGCAGCTGCTGCCACTTTAGGCTGGGCTCCGAACTGAGAAACATGAAGCAGACCTGACCCTAGCCTGCAGTCGCAGCCAAACTCAGCCAAGCCTTGCTACATTCTCGCAACTTAGCTGACCCATAGGTTAGTGAGTGAGTTTTCAACTACTCCCTCATTTTAAGTTGTAAGGGCTTATAAAAACAATGTTGGGTTGGCCAGTTAGCTCAGTTGGATAGAACATGGTGCTGATAACACCAAGGTCAAGGGTTTGATCCCCGTACCGGCCAGCTGCCAAAAAAACCCCCAAAATACCAGCATTGTTGCAGCAGTACAGGGTACTACGTAGTTTTTCTTATTGATGTATATCAGTTCTTTATATAGTAAACATTTGATTACTGTATTTTGACTCAATTTCTTAACATTTGCCTTTTAATTTTATGATTTTTGCATACAGAAATTTAAATATTTTTAGTCGAATCTCAGTCTTTTCCTTTGTAATTTTTTCCACTGCTTTATCTGACACCTTCCCATTCTTGTGATCACCTTCTAGTGTCTTGATAGCTTATCTCTATGATTGATATATCTTTATTACATTTTTTGGCCTATCAGTTTTCCTTTTGCGTGATGACTAGAATGACTAGAATAAGCCTCCTCTCCAAAGTCATAAAGATAAAAGATGATTATACTAATAATAAAACAATCAATACTACCATTTATTAAGTGTCTGCCATAGGCTAAATGTTTATGTCCCCTAAATTCATAGGTTGAAACCTAATCCCCAAGGTGATGGTTTTAGGAGATGAGGGCCTTTGAGAGGTGATTAGGTCCCTCATGTATGGGATTAGTGCCCTTATATGAGGGACCCCAGAGAGTGCCCTTGCCTGTTCCACCATCTGGGGACACAGTGAGAAGACAACTTTCTGTGAACCAGGAAGCTGACCCGTACCAGACACCAAATTTGCCCACACTTTAATCTTGGACTTCCCAGCCTCAAGAAATGTGAAAAATGAATTTCTGTTGTTTATAAGCTACCCAGTCTGTGGTATTTTTGTTATAGTTGCCAAAATGGACTAAGAAAGTGCCCACCATGAGCTACGCAAAATGGTACTTCACATGAATTATTCCATTTAATTTTCACAGTAGCTCTGCAAGGTGGATATAAAAGTCAACCTACTTTACAAGTAAGGAAACCTAGCTTCAGATATTTTTATGATGATGATTTATTATCTCCATTTCACAGATGAGCAAATTGAGGGACACCGGAAGACTAAATAACTTGATCAGGGCCATACGTCTGGGAAGTAGCCCAGCCAGAATTCAGATCAAGTAATGTCCGACTCCAGAGTTGCCCCTTCCCACTAAGCCTTCCAGAAGATGGAGTCACCAACTATGATGCCAATACTAGAAAAGTGCACTGAATTTTTTCTTTTCTTCCTTCCTTTCTTCCTTTTTTTGGGCAGGAGCAGACATCTGAGTGTTTGATACCTAAAGTAGTCAAATTCTCTTAAGTTCCAAGAATTTCTTAGAAATAATATGCGGTATTTTGGCTACAAAATACGGAGATCCTTGTCTGTATAAATATTAAACTTTACAATTAAGATTTAAGAACAATCACTAGATTTAAGTCCTTTTCCCCTAAAATTGTCATCAGAAATTTGTAGAAATCCAGATGTACTCATTCATCTGGAAGATACTAGTATCCTATTTATGATAATTCTTATTTACACAATGCATGCACATTATTTATACAACAGACTTCAGAAATAAAATGTTAAATAAAAAGCAGGGTATAGAATATGCATATTGTGATGTCATTTATGTAAAAAACAAAAGTAAGTTAAAATAACGCTGTGTGTGTGAATGTAGGGACAAAGCCTGGAAGGGTATATAATAAATTGTTGAAAGTGTTACAAGTGGTTGCTATGGGGAGGGCATAAAAGTGAGAGCAAAGGGG